ATTTTTATCATTTATTATGCAATTTATGTATTTATGTAATTACAGAGAGAGAGAGAGAAAGAGAGAATGACCCCAATTCACTCCCCCAGATGGCTACAGTGGCCAGGACTAGGCCAGGTCAAAGACCCAGGCACTTCATTCAAATCTTCCACTTGGGTGCCGGGGCCCGGGCACTGAAGCCACCTTCTGCGGCTTCTCCCGGGCCATTAGAAGGGAACTAGAGCAGAAGTGGGGCAACCGGGACTTGACCCAGCACTCATACAAGATGACAGTTGCCAAAGTGCCATCCACTACTCTAATACCTTGCACCGCATGTTTCCATTTATGTGCACAACTTGTTTTGGACAAAAATAAACATCTTCTGATCACATTTTTCTAAAGCTTTTGGATAAACCCTGTACTTTCTTGTATGGTTATAAGGTAGTTATGGCACTTACTGAATATATGTGAGAGCACATTAAAAAGTTTGTGGAAGGCCCGGCACGGTGGCCTAGCTGCTGGGGTCCTCGCCTTGCATTCGCTGGGATCCCATGTGGGCACTAGTTTTAGTCCTGGCGGCCCCACTTCCTGTCCAGCTCCCTGATTGTGGCCTGGGAGGGCCGTCGAGGAAGGCTTGAGGCCTTGGATTCCTGCAGCCGTGTGGGAGGCCTGGAGGAGGTTCCTGGCACCTGGCTTTGGATTGGCGCACCGTCGTTGTGGTCCCCCGCATTGCTTTCACTTGGGAAGTGAATCATTGGATGGAGGATCTTCCTCTCTGTCTCTCCTCCTCTCTGTATATCTGACTTTCCAATAAAAATAAATAAATCTTTTTTAAAAAGTTTGTGGAAAAGTGGAATTAAATGTATTTTGAGAAAAAAAAATTCAAATTACAAATCCTTGTTTTTCAGGAACTTTTTGAAGAATCTTCATTTGGGGTGAGGCTGCAGGTACAGAGGTAGTAGAGACAGATAGCAGTATGTGGGGGGGAAAAAAGTCCTAGTCTTGCAGAAAGTCAGCCAGTTGCCTAGTGGCTAAACTCCTCGCCTTGAACATATCGAGTTCCCATATGGGCACCGGTTCTAATCCTGGCGGCCCTGCTTCCCATCCAGCTCCCTTTTGTAACCTGGGAAAGCAGTAGAGGACGGCCCAAAGCCTTGGAAGACTGCACCTGTGTGGGAGACCTGGAAGAGGCTCCTGGCTTTGGATTGGCTCAGCTCCAACCACTGTAGCCGCTTGGAGAGTGAATCAACTGACAGAAGATCTTCCTCTCTGTCTCTCCTGCTCTCTGTATATCTGACTTTGCAATAAAAATAAATATATCTTTAAAAAAAGGGAAAATATTAAGCTACAGCATCTAAGCATGTTACATGATTATGAATGCCAGAATTTGGAGAGCACAGAATTGTGTATCTGTCCATTTATCAGGTGTCATTGTTTTAGAGCATTTTGAGAGAGTGCTTTAACTGTGTAGCTTTGGTGAGGAAAAAAAGTAAATTAAAAATTGAAAAGACAGATTAAAAGGTAAAAAATTATTTCAACATAGTATAAACACCAAAAAGTGTACCTGAGCTGGGTGCTTTTAGCTTAGTGGTTAGAATTCTGGTTAAGATACCTGTGTCCTGGGTTTGATGCCTGACCCCAGCTCTACTGTCCACTAATGCAAACCATGGGAGTCAGAGGTGATTCCAGTAACTGGGTTCTTAACAGCCATTTGGGAGACCCAGACTGAGTTCCTGGCTCCCAGCTTCAGCTCTGGCCCAGCCCCAGCACTGTGGGGTAGGCATGTAAGGAATGAACCAACAGATTGGAGCACTCTCTCTCTGTCTCTGTCTGTCTCTCTCTCTTTCTCTCTCTGTATATAATATATTATATTGTATATATTATATATATAATAATGTTTAAAAAAGAAGTATCGGGCCCAGCACGGTGGCTCAGTGGTTAAGGTCCTCCCCTTGCACGCCCAGGATCCCATATGGGCGCCGGTTCTAATCCCGGCAGCCCCGCTTCCCTTCCAGCTCCCTGCCTGTGGCCCGGGAAAGCAGTTGAGGACGGCCCAGGACTTTGGGACCCTGCACCCGCGTGGGAGACCCGGAAGAGGCTCCTGGCTTCGGATCGGCATAGCATCGTCTGTTGTGCTCACTTAGGGAGTGAATCATTGGATGGAAGATCTTCCTCTCTGTCTCTCCTCTCTGTATATCCGCCTTTCCAATAAAAATAGAATGGATAAATCTTTAAAAAAAAAAAAAAGAAAAAGAAGTATGCCTGAGAAAGGGAGACAAAGAACATTGGACATAGCCAGAGAAAGATGAGGGATCAAGGAAGAAAGATAGTTTTGTTAAGCTTTAAACTATCAGTGACTCATGTATATTGAGTCTCTATTATGTTCCAGGCACTTCTAAGCACTACACATGTATTAAATAATTTATTGTTAGTAGTATCACTAACCCAGTTTTGTAAACAAGATAACTGAGGCTTGAAAGGTAAAATAATTTGCCCAGTGCCATAGAGCAGTAAGTTGAAAAGCAGAGACTCAAATCTGGACTAGGGGTTCCAGAGTCACTGCCCCACATCGCAGCATATTTGAATGCTGGTGGGAATGGAATGAAAAAGCTAAAAGAGTGATGCAGAAGAGACTCGTTCAATGAAGAGCAAGTGAGACGAGCTCCATAGCACATGTCGATGACGGCAGTCAATGGGAAGAACATTTTGTTGTTCCAAAAGAGAAACCAAAAAATAGGTCAGAGGAAAGTACATGTGTAAATTGATGGTGGAAGCATGGGCCTCCTGCTCCTGTGGTGCTGTTTTGTCACTGATTTTTTAAAAAATTTGTAGCAAAGTTATTATTGAAAAATGGGGAGAGTTAAAGAGAGGTGAAAATGTTGAAAAGAGAGAAGAGTAGCCTAAGAAATGGGAAGTCCAGCTTCCTAGAGAAATGTGTGACAACTACCTGGCAGTACAGAGTCCCCATTTGTGACTGTTACAGAAAATTGATGGTGAGACCAAACTGCCTGTTGTAGGATTGACAAAGAGGTATTAGTAGCTTGAAGGAGACCAGTAATACTAAGTCGAAAGAAAGAGCAGGAAATGCTGACATGTGGAGTCAAAGATTAAAGCTAACACTTCTGGAAATGAAGTCACTAGCAGATAAGAGGCAAGTGGTTGCAGTCTGATTAGTCTGTCTTGCTTGTAGCTGTTGTCGCATTGAGTGTGTTCCATGACTTTGTCTACTGTCAATGATGACTTTTCATAGCAAGTAAAATAAATAGCAATAAATTCATACTGCTGGTATATTTTATGCAAATTCTGTAAAGAATATTTGAAGAACTAACAAAATTTGGGAATCAAAACAAATTCTTCTAAAAGATTATTTTATTTGAAAGGCAGAATTATAGAGAGAGAAGGAAGGACAGAGAGAGAAGGAAGAACTCCTCCAACCACTGGATCACTCCCTAAATGACTGCAATGACCAGGGTGACGCTAGGCCAAAGCCACAACTTTTTCAGTAACACTAACAGAGATCTGAATCAGAAGTAAAGCAACCAGATCTTGAATCGGCACCTGTATGGGCTGCTGGTATCACAAGCAGTGGCTTAATTCACTTCACCACACAATTGATCACCAAAATAAATTCTTAAACTGGCAATTTCAGCCAATGTTTCTAGGTAGAGCTCTTACAAACTCGCTAGGAGATTCAAGTGTTACCTGATAATGTTCTTTGACCTTTCCATTTGTCTATTTACTCTAAGCCACAGTCCTTTCTCAGGACTATTACACAGGATTTCTTACACTTACTAAATGATTTTTAGATATCCATGATAATAAAGAACATGAGTAATATTAGAGATGTTTTAAAGAGGACAATCAGTCAACATATTTCAAGGAAAGCATTAAAGTATAATGTAGAAAGGACCCTGAGCCAGGGCCCCTTATAGTATCTCAAACTCATAGGCAGAATCAAAAACCTCTGTGAGCAATCCTGATGGCCTAATACCCATTTATTCTAAATAATATATAAAATAAAATTCTAGAAGATGCCAAAGGACAAGTTGTCAGGAAAAACATAAAGCAAAACCACAGACTTATCAGAGGGATTATCCATCAACATAATGGGCTTCAAAAATCTTAATCCATAATTTAAAAAAAATTTCAAATTTTTTTCATAAGCGAAGTTTCTTTTTAAAATATTCATTTATTTTTATTGGAAAAGCAGATTAGATTTATGGAGAGAAGGATATACAGAGAAAGATCTTGTATTCATTGGGTCACTCCCCAAGCGGCCACAACGACTGGAGCTGAGTTGATTCAAAGCCAGGAACCAAGAGCTTCTTCTGGGTCTCACATCTGGGTGCAGAGTCCCAAGGTTTTGGACCATCCTCTACTGCTTTCCTATGCCACAGGCAGGGAGCTGGATGGGAAGTGGAGCAGCTGGTACATGAACAGCATCCATATGGGATCCCAGCGCTTCTGAGGTAAGGATTTAGCCATATATACATGCCACTTATTTTTTAAAATAATTATTTTATTTATTTTATTACAGAGCTTCACAGGGCAGGAGTGACAGAGAGAAATCTTCCATCTGCTTTTCACTCCGTAACTGCCAGGCTCAAGTCAGAAGCCACAAGCTTCAATTAAGTCTCCCGTGTGGGCTCAGAGACAAGGACTTGGGCAGTCTTTCAGTGCTTGCCCAGGTGCACCAGCAGGGAGCTGGATCACAAGTGGAGCAACCAGGACTCAAAACAGCACTGGAAGGAAAAGGACGACTCCGTTCTAATGTCCACGACAGGTGGACCAAAGGGATGATCTCAAAAAGGAAGGAAAGAAAAGTCAACTCCCAGAAACTACTGAACAATTGAGTAATTTCAGGATTTCTTCATCCAAACACACTTAATTACCCTTTAGTTCCCATTTAATTGTTGTAGGTTTAACACAAATATGATTTTGGTAAGAACTTGGTGATTTCTTTGACGTTTCTGGCCTATCAATCCCATGGCTTATAGTCAAATTATAAATACCCACATTCAAACCCCTCCCTAGCCATTTTCTCTTTAACTAAAGCAAACCCTTGAACCTATAGTTTCTAATGAAATAAAATTGTTCCTCCCCCAATATTTAAGAGGTCACACCCAGAAATATTAGTACTTCAACAGAAAGTACTATGAACATCACGGCCTCGGGATGTGTTGGTTTATGTTCAAAGTAACACGATTTTCCTTTAGGAGAAGAAAGGAAGAAGGTCACTGATTAGAAGAAGTGACTGAATGTGAATGACTAGGTCTAGAATGGCTAGAACGGAGGTCCTTAACTGTTTTTGCACTGTTATACGGGGCCCAAAGAAGACAGACTGGCCAAAGATTGTTGTGGGTAGTGTTATGTGCACATGCATGTGTGTGACTCAGTGGAAGAGAGGTCATACTGGGGAAGGAAGCAGCTGAGCCTCTTAAGCCAGGAAGGTGACTGTGCCACAAGAGCCTGCAAGGTGGCAGAATCGGGGGAGAGATGAGTCAGGTGAGCCAGGCTGCCACCAGGTTTCAGAGACGGATCATCAAACAGGAATTCATATACAAAGACACACACTTCCCTCCAGCGCTGACCTACATCAACCAGGGTGTCCCTCTTTGTAGTTCAGGCTTCCTCCTCCTCCTCAGGCTTCTCGGAAGCTTAGCAGCTTGTTTTTTCTTTCTAAGCCAAAAATAAAGCAAAGTCAAAATGAGATCGATTCCAGGGGAAATCATTTTATGGCATGGAGAATGAAAAGCATCAAATTCAAGATAACACTTTGTAGTAGCTAGGATGTGTTTGGATGTAGAGTAGGGGTGTGGAGACTTAACGGTGACTTCCACTACAACAGTGACATTTACTGAACTGGGTGTTGAATACAGTGGTGTTATGGCTGAAATAGTTCATCATTTTCAAAAAACAAAAAAAGACTGAAAAAGGAAGGATGAAAAGAGAAAGATTTTGTTTGTTTCTGTTTTTACTTGGGAAAAGTTAGGGGTCCCTCCCTAGTTGTTCTAACTCTATTATAAACCAAAAAACTGTGTTCACAGAAATATTAGCCTCTTTGAGGTTAATGCTTCTAAATCAATTCATTTGTCAGCAAATGTTCAAATCACACACCTATGAAGCTGGATCAATTTCAGCAGCCTCATCCTTGGGTGTAACTCTAGTTACATTAAATTTGTGCTTTGGAAGTGTTCTCCCTGTTGCGTTAGTATTGTGACATCATACATATGTGAATGAGACATCAAGTCAGAGTCCTGAAAGGCTCCCTCAGCCCTGTCCCCTGCGTTTGGCTGGCAGGTGCCTCCAGCCTCCTCCTCTCGTTAGTCCTGCTCTGCCTCTTCTTCACCTTGGCCAAAGGCTCACTGCACTTCTTATTTCCTACCCAGCTGTGATCAAACAAAGAAAAAAGATGAAAGCCACGTGTCAGCTTGTCTTAAAACATAAATAGCTACAAGCCAGACACAAACTGGGAAAGGATGAATCTAATGATTAGAATCAGACCTGCAAATTGTCACTACATTTCATATTTCCCACTGGGATTTTCTTTTTTTTTTTCCAAAACAAAGGCAGATTGGTATCATGTTGATAACATTGCCAGCTTTGGAAAATCCCTGCTGGGTCACTTCTCAGCTACACGATCTTGCTCAAGTTTTTTAACCCTAAGCATGTAGGCATTAATACCTCCCTTGTTGAAGTTGAAACAAACATGAAATGTTTAGAGTTTAATACATTTCAGCAGTTGTTACCTGAGTTCCTTTCATTTTTTCCCCTACTCTTTTCATGTGTTCAAGTGAAATCCCTGGAAAGCTGATGGGTATGGGAATAATTTACATGCAGGAAAAACCAGCTCCCAGGAAAACGCCTATCCGGCCAGAGAGGCTGCATACCTGGAGGAAGAGGCCTTCCTGAACGCAGTGGATTCTTCTCCCTACAGGTGCCAAAAGTCTGCCCAGGAAAGGAGTTGCTAAACTGGTTATTTTGTTTTTATTAGGACGCGTTGAAGGTTTCCGTGAACAGCCCAAGAAACCAGAAACCCAAACAACACTGTATGTGTTCCCTCCTTGGACATTCTCCGGGGTCCCTCTTTGATCAGCTCAGCGACCTCTCAGGAGACAAAAGGGATTCTCTTCCCCCCAGTAGAAAATGAGCCTGAGAGAGCTAGGCGAGAGCTAGGGGACGGGCAGCCCCACTGCAGCCTCCCTGGCTGTAAGACGGACACTACGGGGCCGCTGCTGGGCAAGGCTGCATGGAGGGAGCTCTGAGAAGCCAGGTAATTTCGTGACAAAACCCACCACACAAGGATTTACCTGGAGAATTCCCAGGAATGCTTGGCTCCGCGTGGGAGAAAACAGTTGCACACAGTCCCACAGCAGAGCACTCGGCCAAGTAGACTGTCCTTTACCACTAGAGTTTAAAGAAAAAGTGCGTTTGGCCTCCACATTCCCTGTCAGCCCTCCTTTCTCCCAGTCTCAGCTCATACTGGCTCCTCCTCCTTCTCCTAAACTATCTCCATTGGCTCTAAGCGGGCTAGGGGTCAAGAGGCGATTGGCTGAGTGCGAGCAGCACCGCCCTGCCCATTCCCCTCCCACACCCTCCCGGGAGAAACAGCTGGAATGAAACCTGGGCAGGGGAAGCTGGGATTGGCTGGGAGTCAGCGGCAGGGTGGGGTGAGGCAGCTCCTGTGAAGAATTTACCTGTCTAGGTAAGACAGAGGAGGTCAAAAGGAGAAGAAAACAGCAGGAGGCTGGGGACCAGTCTCAGTCTCCATCTCCGCCCTTTGAAACCAAAGGGTATTCCTTTCCTCTCTTCAGCCTCCTCCCCAGTGAAGGTGAGTTAACCACTAACCAGCTATTGCTTGTTCTGCAGCGAGGAGGGTTGGTGGTGGGGGGGACTGGGGAGTCCTCAGCTAGGGGTTCTCCCATCTGCTCCTTAAATTTCTAAGTCTGGGAGGTTGGGAGCTTGTTGAAACTGCAGTACTTTTGTGGATTCTAGGGCTGGGACTCATCCTGTTCACTTAGCGATTTAGGTTGAGAAAACCTATTGAGCAAATGGCAAGAGAAGTAAATAGGTTTCTTTGGGAAATTTCCATCCCTGAGGAAGTGAACTGAGTTGTGCTCATGAAGGAAATCGAGGGAGTCCAGATCAGGCATGGTTCGCCAGGTGAGTGAAGAACTTCCCATTGAAACCAAAATGCTCCTTCACTTGAACAACTCAGTGTCTGCCTTTATCTAAGCAATGAGTGTAGTGTCGGGACATTTCAACAGTGGAGCTATCTGTGGACAGGTGTGTGAGGTGTGAGCTGCATTTGGTTGTTTGTTAGTGGGCAGGAAATTCACACACACTGGGAAAGCTCCAGCTCAAGCTACCAGTCCATCTTTGGGCAATCCAGTTATGCAGTCACGTTTAATTTAATTTAATTGATTTTCTGACTTTGCCTGTTAAGAGACACAGACTCACAAACAGAAAGCTGTTTTCATGGCAGCATGTCAAGTCTGATTAAGGCTCCAGGTGGGACTCAGGCCAAGGTAGCATGAAGGAGTCCACCAAGAGAAGAAACTGACATGGGTGATGAGTTTGCTGTGTTCTCCCCCCCCCCCCAATTGTATCAGCTGGAAGCTGCAAGTGGTGTAAGTGCTGTCCAGTTCTCATTTCAATGCTCAGTGATGTGTCCTATGGGTCACCACTGTGGCTCGAGATGTCACCTCTTTTCCTCCTGCTGCAGAGACAAGGTGGAAAGACCCCAGGACCCCACTCTCAGGGCCTGGTATACTCAATCGGGAGGAGTAGGTTGGGTTTCTGATCCTGGCACTTGAAGCTTCAGGCTTTAGCTTCACCCACAGAGCACACAGTGCCTGTGACCACCATCGTTGGAGTACTTCTCCACCAAAATACACCAGTGACACAGCTCTTGTGTGAAGCTACTAGCTCTGTCCATGCCTTGCCTCCAACCCACTGGGAACAGAGAAGATTCAAATGTTGTCTAAATACACACACACACACACACACACACACACACACACACACACACACACGTGTTCATGGAGAGGAAGAGAGACCTATAGTGCAAATTTTGATCTTCCCAGCATTATTCTTAGATGTTTTGTAGCCCAAGGCACATTTCTGGGGGACATCATGAAAAGCAGAGGCATTTGGCTGAGAGATATAGGCAGCCTCTCTGAGGAGAGACAGAGAGCTGAGCTCTTGGAAGCCATGAGGTTGTACCCATAGGAGGAAGATGATAGAGGGCCTTGGTTGGCTTTGTTCTAGCCAACTGGATGGGGTTCAGGCCACTCCCTGTGCTCCCCCCTTTGAAAATCCACATGTGATTTATTTACTCTCTTGCAAGGCTTGAGTGGCTTCAGTAGAGTAGTTAATATTTAATACCCCTCTGGATGGGTGGCCCTGACAATAGCCTGTGCGAATTTTTAACCCATTCCCTCCTCCTCTTCAATTCCCCCCGAAAGGTCAAGGGTTAGAAGATACAAGATTCTCACCTTGAGTGACTTGCTTCTTGGGCTGTTTATCAGATTAGAAACACCTCTCAAGTTTCAAGGTCTATAAAGTCAGTGGAAGGAAATACCACATCCAGGTCCAGCTGGGGCAAGTAGAAGAGGGCGGAATGCTGGGAGGAAGAGGTAACTTTATTACCACACAAACTCTTAGAAAGCTGGACATGGGGGTGAGGTGCTGCTACCTGGGAGTTAACTTAGCTTTGGTTCAGGTTAGCTTTGGCTCATCTCTGTGGTGATTTGGTCATGCCTGATGACGTGCACTTCAGTGGTATTTGATGTCATTTCTTTACTCTGGAAATATTCTTTGTTGTTCCAGGCAATAAAATGACCTGGAAATGTAAAGCTAAACCAGATGGCTTTCAGTGACCAGGGTATAAAGATGAAGGAGAAGGGGTGGTCTTTGGCCTTTTACTATTTACTCAGGGGTGGCAATGACGCTTCAAGTTTGCAACTCTCTTGCACCTGGTCAGTCCTTACGAGACCTTCTAGGCAGATGGGGACTGGGATCCACAGGCTGCCCTATGCATGCAGGTCTGGGTCATCATCTGTAAAGCCAATGTCACATTGTGCCTGTGTTTCCAGGTTAGTCTGCAGATCAAATGAGCACACCTAAGACCCTCTGTAAACTACACTATGCTGTGTTCGTCTTTTCCATCTGCTTCAGGGCACCCTAGATCCTGAAGGGAGAGCGTGCCAGGCTTTCCTAGGCAGAGGAGAGCTAGCTACCTCCTGTGAAAGTGTGAACACAGGCAGCCATTTTCTCTGAAAGTAAAAGACTGCATTTGCTCATCCATTCATAGAAAGTCTTATTTTAATGACAGTGAATCACTTTAAATATTAAACACTGTATTCCACAGTTAAGAAAATGGGGAACAAAGACCAGACCCTTGGTCTACATTGACCTCTTGAAAAGAACATCTTGATCTACACCATTTGTACCACCTTCTCCTGTAAGGGGCTTGGAAGTGCCAGTTAACTGGAAGCCTTGCCCACCTTCCATATATTCTTTGAGAAATAGAATATTTAGGAAAAAGCTTGAAGTTAAAAGGTCAGAAGCCAAGAAGTCTTCCAACTGCTCCACCCAACAGACTAGAACAAGTGACACGTTTATTTATCTAGCATTGCTTGAGTGCCTTCTGTGTGCACGGGCTGGGTGCTCAGGATTACCTTTGCTTTAGTGGCCTCAACCCTAAAGAATGGCTGGAATGGGCCGTGGCTCTCCGAACCCGAATAGTCATCCATGAAGTGCATAGCTGAAATGACTGAACTTTGTCCGTGTGATTCCTCATCTTCCTGTTTCTTGAGGTTCTGGGTGTTGGGGGACTAATCTCATAGAGAAGCTAAGATGCCATTTCACCCAGCACTGAGCTTCCACTGGACTCATCTGGTGTTTGGTCCCTCTAGTCTCCTCTTGACCCCTGGGGAGCTCTGGACCTTGATGAACCAAATAAATCTTGTCCCACTGATCTGCCCCACTTGAGGCATTTCTCCCAAGCAGAAGAGGCACTCTGCAAAGCCCCGTACTCACCAGCACCATGGCACTGGAAGAAGTTCTCACCCACCCTCACTCAACCCTGACTTTGGCACTAGACTTACAAAGGCCCAGGGGCTATCACTATGGCATCTAAACCCTGTGTCACCAGGTTGCAACTAGGGTTTATTTATTATTTGAAAGACAGAATTACAGAGAGGGAAAGGGGAGAGACAGAGAAATCTTCCATCCCATTGATTCATTCCCGAGATGGGTGCAATGACTGGGGTTGAGCCACGTAGAAGCTGGGAGCCAGGAGCGTATCCTAAGTTTCCCAAATGGGTACAGGGACCCAAGTACTTCTAGTGCTTTTTCAGGTTCATTGTCAGGGAGCTGGATAAGATGTTGTATAACTAGGTTGCAAACCAGTACCCATACGGGATACTGATGCTGCAGGTGGTAGCTTTGTCTGCTTCACCACAGTGCTGGCCCTAGAATACATTTTTTTTTTCTGTGACTTATTGCCCAATAGTAGTAGGGCGGAGAAAGATTATGGAAGGTGTAGCTTGGTATTTCTGGAACAATATATATACAGAATTAGACAAATTGTATTATAATTCTAGGTCTTACCTATGTCTCTGTTTTACCTTGGAACTGCTTTTCATTCTAAATTCTTTCAAAATTTCATTTTAACATAGAAGAGTCATCATGGCCTGGCCAATTCTGGTACATTGTTCCCATACACAAATTAAGAAAATCCTTGGAGTTTCCCTCAGGAGTTTGAGCTTGCTTCCCCTCAGTTTGCTTCCCCTTAGGAACTGGAGCCAGGAAGAAGCTACATGAAACACTCCTCTGGTTTGACTTAAGAACTTCATAGGCAGCAGCAATCCAGGACTGGCATGCCAGAGGGAGAGTGGGCTTGTGTCAAACACTGCAGGTGCCCTGTTCATGTGTCCCAGGCTATGGAGATGGCAACAGCCAGGGTGGTGGTAGCTGGAATGGTATTGAGGGTTTTGACTATGATCGCAGCTGACAAATATTGGGCCATAGACTGAGTTTTGCATGGAATAGTCCGTTATATTGTATTTTCACAATGACCCTTTGAGGTCATTTAACCTTCTCTCTCATTTAACCAGAACCCTTCTTTTCTAAACTCTGGTTTCCTTTGCTTAATGTAATTTGAGCCTCCAAGGCTCTTATCTTTTTCTTCTCACAAGAAGGGTAGTTATTGGCTTATTCATTAAATGTTGGAGGACTTACTACCAACTAAATGGCATCTCATTTCATTCTCTCATTAACCCTATTCAATAAGGAAAAACAGACCCCAAGAGTAATTTGGCCAAAGTCACGCATATGTAAACAGCTGGAGTGGGACATGAACCTAGACACAACTACTTTCAGAACCTCAGTTCTCAAGCCCTTTAATATGTATTTTATGGTCATGGAAGTGTAGGTTAAGCTGTTTCAGAGGGAAAAACTAAGAGAAGTGACAGCAGCTGCTCTCTGGCTAAACTGCCTCTTACACTCAAGTGTGTCCTATTGCATGCATCTGAGCCGGCCTGTGCGTCCTTCATGCTATGCAGCTGGGGGTGGAGATCACAGCTGTTCACAGCCCCCTCTTCCCGCTTTCTGCTTGCTTGATGTCCTTGCCATTGTGCTGCCCCAGGGCCTGGGCAAGAGCCTTGCAGAAGCACTGGCTCATACGTGGCTTTGATCTTCTCTTTTCAGGCCCGGTTTGGGACATTCTTCACTTCCCTTCGCTTCCCCTCTGGGAGCCCCTTTTGCCACCCCTGCGCCTTGCTTCGGGCAATGCCCGAAAGGGAGCTGTGGCCAGCAGGGCCTGGCTTGGAACCTGTGACCCGCGTCGGCAGCTGCGACAGCATGATGAGCACCACCTCCACCCGCTCGGGATCTGTACGTACTCTCCCTCCCGCAGCCTGTCCGCTTGCCGTACACCTGCCCTGCCCTGCCCTGCCCCGCCCCACCCTGCCCTGCTCTGCCACCCGTCATCACTCACTGCACCTTCTCTTTCATCCTCCTCGTCAGTGAGTGAATCACAAAATCAGAGGGTGCTCTGTGCCTCTGAGTCACCCCTCATTTCATAAAGAATAGGGTGCGGTAGCCTCAAAGGGCAACAGGACAAATGAGATCTTCCCCCAGCTCTCGTTTGCACTGGGTGAGAGGTCTGTGCTAAGAGAGAATGGGCTGTGTTCGGAGTCCATGGTGGGTGTGAGATAGGGATCCCTACTGTAGCGTGTGGCTTCTTGAAACTCTGTGCCGCAGTCCCAGTGTTCCTTCTGACTTCCTCAAGGATTCAAGTCAAACACATCTGGTTTCCCTGCTTAGGTAAAGCTGCCTGACCTGGGGCAAATTACTCAGTGTCTCCAAGTTTCAGTGTCTTCCCTTCTGAGATGGGGTTGATATCCACCCCTAACCTGTAGGGTTCTCAGAGGGGATAAACGAGATGCTTGTAAAGCAGTTGACCCATACCTCCATGTAGGAAGGGAACATCCCAGTTGGGAGCAGACAACGGTCTGGCAGTCACTGTTTTTATTTGTGAGAGATGTGTAATCAGTTGTAATTTTTCTGGGCACGAATCTAAATCTTGGTTAGTTTCAGCCTGGAGAGAAAGAATAAATCTGTTCTGTGTCCAGATGAAAGCATGTCTTTGTTGTTCAGCCTCTTTATATACATGACAACCATGGAGAATTTATACTTGATTGCTAGCCTATGGAGGTATTTCAAAAGTTAAGGATTATGATTCTGCTGTAGAGATACTGATGTTGAGTAGTAGAGTCTGTACGTACTGTCAAGGATATTTACCATTGCCTTTGAATTTTGATACATAAAAGTGGAGTGGGAAAAGCCACAAACACACACACAACGCACACACATACACAAATCCAAAGTGTAGGCAACCCATACATATTTTCTTTTTGACTCGCGATGGTGGACCCAGACAGACTTCCTTCCTGATTCTTTGAGGTTGAGGCCAGTATGAATAGTCACATGCCATCATCTGCCAATTAAGAGTGTTCAAAGTGAGTCACCCACAAAAGAAACTCTGAGTTGGCTTAGGCATGACCAGGCTATTTTAGAAGAAATAGGGCAATAAAAAAGATCTTTGCTCAAGTAACTCTATGAGTTGGCTTCAGGCTTCCAGGGGCTATCTTTAGGACTTTCCCTGACATACAGACTTCTGTGGGTCAGCTGACAGGTGATTCTAAAGGGCAGGAACAACTCGAAGGGGTTATTCAACAGCCTTCTCCCATCCCTCCAAGATACTTTTAGGACTGTCTCTAAGCATTTGCTGGCCATAAAAGTGTTCCAGAGCATAGAAGGAGAAAGATAAGCTCAGGCTGAGTTTCTTATGTTCTCAATTTCTTACATTGTCCTTTGACTTTCTTTCAAGCTCCTTCAAAGAGTATCTATGCCATCAGCCTTCTTGGCATGAGAGAACATGGGAAGACTCATCATCATCATTGACCCTAACATCATTTCCAAAGACCCTGTGTGCTTTCTATTAAAATAAATATCCTACTTTCATGTCTATTTAATAACTAATGCAAAGTTACTCTTCCATTCTTTGTACCACCCAGTTTCTTCACCTTCCCCTTCAGTTAATATTTACTAAAGAAGTACACACTTATTTGAATGTTAGCCAGAGCCAAATGCCATTAAGAAAAGTAAATACAAGGGGGAAAAAAAGCTTGCATGGAATTTCTTTCAAAGTCAAGTACAAATTATTTAGCTAAAATGTGTCTGTACCTAGTCAAGCTGCTGTTCCCATCAGCCTGACAGCTGGTACTTGGCTGCAACTGTTTGTCTTTATCCTGACCTTGAAATATCAAATCAAGTGTGCAGAACTTCTTTGAAAAGTTAAAAGCAAGACTATTCAAGTTTCAAAGTATTACCTATATGACTTAGAGCTTTAAGCACAGTGAAACTCTTGACAAAGTTCACACGAAACAATTGGAATGAATATCCTAAGCTGCTGAACTTAAGCCCAGGTCTGAGCTAAAGGAAGACCCTTACACATGCCTGCCCAGCCAGCCGGGCTGCGTGTTAGTAGACCCACAACCTGCCATTCTCCACCTTCCCTGGGGTTGAAGTTTCAGGAAGCACCTCCAACAGGCTTGCGGGGTAGCTCTGCGGACAGCTTCCAGCTCTTCAGCATTCCTTCCCTACGGCAGGGCAGTTCTTGGGCTCCGCCAGTTTCTGCAGAGGGACCTCCCTCTCACAGCTCCTTCTTCACGCAGAGTGACGGCATCTATGACTTCCTGTCGGCTGAGGAGAAGGCATGTCTACTCTTCCTGGAAGCGGCAATCGGCTCATTGGACACAGAAACTGATAGCGGACTGTCCACCGATGAGTCTGAGCCAGTTACAACACCCCAAGGCCTCCAAGTGCTGCCTCAAAGCCAACCTGCCCCCAAGGGTAAGCCAGACTGTCTGAGACAACACCTCTGCAGATATCTAGAAGCTGAACACATCCCTCTGGCCACTTTTTACCTCTGTTCTGAGGGTCATGGGCAGGAAAAGGATTAAAGTGCCCTTTCCTGACCCAAAGAAAGTCCATGGAAGGAGGGAGGCAATGCTGACAAGCCAGCTTCCAATCTTTTTATACAGTATCAGAGATCTGGGATGGAAATGAGGTGAAGCAGCTCCTGTTTTCCATGGAAAAAAATTCTAGCAGAGACGACCAAAGAAGTAAACGAACCATGGAGGCCTGGGTGGCTGGCCCTGGACAGACTAAGTCAGGCCACGGAGCTAATCTGGGTGACCCAGCAAAGGACAAGGTTTCAGGAGATAAGCAGAGGGAAGGGCTCCCCTGTGCCAGTGGGTGGCACCTTGAGGCCCTGGTGGAGAGGGCTGAGAGCCAGAGGTGTGCAGCACATGAGAAGGGGACACAACGGCACACAGGGTGGCCTTGAGTACGGGGCCATGCAGCTCAGGGTGTGGAAAGCACCTTGCTCCCACAGACCGTGTCCCTCATATCAGGGCTGCAATCCTTTACTCACTCACTTGACAAATATTTATTGATCGTGTGTTAGGCTCTCCCTGGAGATAGAGCATTGAGTGGGCACATTGGTCCCCACTGCTCTTAAAAGCCGACTCCCTGGCCCAATGAGACTAAGGTATCTGCCTAGCTTGCTAGAAAGAAAGGAACCATGGCACTTTGTGGTTCAGGGACACTCTACCTGTTATGTGTCTCTCCAGGTGCTGACAGGACAAAGTAGAAGGTAGAATTTAAGAGCAAGTCACTTGTTCATAAGCTCTTGCCTTACAAGAGCTGCAGATAAACTGTCTCAACCCTATTTCTACCTGCAATGCATCTACTGATGGTTGGGCAGACCCCAAGTCAGGATTGGGAGCAGTCAGAGGGCTACTGTCTTCCCAACTATCATGAAAAATTAGTTCTTGAGAAAATGATCTGCTAACTGAGTGCTGCCCCTTTAAAAGCCAACACAACTAAACTTAACCAAACAAAATGACGCCCATTTGTTACTCGTCAGAGATCGGAGTTCAGGAAGTATTTGCTTTTCTTACTGCAGCAAGGCTCTCACCTCTGTTGTCTGTTCTCTCTTTGTTGCCTCTTCCTCATCTGCACAGGACATCCGAAAGAGACGACCATAGAGCAAAATCCAGAGCCAAGGACCGAGACTCAGATCAGCTCATTCTGTCCTCCTGAGCCCCAAGGTCTGGGCCTCAGGTCTGGCTCCTACAGCCTCCCCCGAAATATTGGCAGAAACCAGAACCTCTGGACCAGCAGCAGTAGCCAGCCAAACAGCCACATCCCTGGAGAACCTGTGGGGCTTGGAGCAGACAAACAGCAGGACAGCCAGTGTGGTGAGCCCAGTCCAGCTCCTGCTGGCCCCCAGGAGGCTGTCCTCGGTTTGGACGTGGCCATCATCCCCCCACCGGAGGCTTTCCGGGACTCCCAACCAGAACAGTGTGTGGAAGAGCACCTGTCCAAGCGGCCGGAAGAGCCACGCGACACATCCCAACTCCACGCGCTGCTGTCCCACCCCCAGAAGAGAGAAGAGACCTCTAAAGAAGCCATGTCCCAGAAGGCCAATGAGAAAGGCCCCACAGGGCACTCAGGACCCCTGACATCAGGAGGTGATCTGAGTGCCCAGCCAGCTCCCCTGGCAGCCCCTAAGCCCCGAAAGCTGCCACCTAACATTGTCATAAAGAGCAGCCGGAGCAGTTTCCACAACCAGCCCCAGAGCTGGCTATCCCGCCACACTGAAGCTGCGCCTGGAGAGTCTGGACTGGGCTTGTCTTCACTACAAGAGCAGAGGAAAGCCCGCAGAGAGGCGCTGGAGAAGCTGGGACTGCCCCAGGACCAGGAAGAGCCCAGCTTCCACATGAACAAGCCCACTAGCTCCTTCAGATTCAAGGAACCCCGTGCTCAGGGCCCTGCCCCATCCTCAGCAGCAGCACCTGACCTGGCTCCAGCTCAGAGCTCTGCAGCTGCAGGGAAGGCTCTGGCTACAGCTCCAGCAACTCAGGAACCTGCACCAGGGAAGGCTCCAGCTCTTGCTCAGGGAGCTCCCCCAGGGAAGATTTTGACTCCTGCCCAGGAAGCTCCTTCGGGGAAGATTTCAGCCACTGCCAAGTCCATGCCCATTTCGATCCCAAAGGCTTCAAGAGCAAATAATCAGCCCAAGTCAAACTCAGGGCTAACACTCCAAGATAGCAGCATCCCCGGCTTGAGACAGATGAACTTCAAGTCCAACACTCTGGAACGCTCGGGTGTGGGGCTGAGCAGCTACCTGTCTGCTGAGAAAAACCCCAATCCCAAAATCAGCACTTCTCTAGAAAAGAGTTCTCTGTTGGACAAGAGCTCCCCCAGCATCCTGCGGAATTCCCGGCCCCGTCCCGCTTCCCTGGGCACCGGGAAGGACTTTGCTGGAATCCAGGTGGGCAAGTTGGCCGACCTGGAGCAGGAACAGAGCTCCAGGCATCTCTCCTACCAAGGACAGAGCCGGGACAAGCTTCCCAGACCCCCCTGTGTCAGTGTCAAGATCTCCCCCAAAGGCATCCCTGATGAGCACAGAAGAGAGGCCCTGAAGAAACTGGGACTGCTGAAGGAGTAGGACTGGAAGCCAGTGCTCCCAGCACCAACCGCACCCCTGTTGCCCAGGAAGAGATGCCAGGCTCTACCTCAGGGCCTCTGACACCTTGCACACAAGCTTGGCCAGATGTGGGCTGCTCCTCAGATGATCTCTGCATCTCAAGAGATGGGGAGGGAGAAATTTGAGTTCGAACATGCACCTGCAATGAGTACTTGTTCTCTGGGTTTCTCCAAAGAGAGGGAGAGAGACAGAAAATGTAGGCCATGGTAGATATTTATATGTCACCATGAGCCTCTATCCAGAGTTCTGCCCTCCTTGGTGATTTTCTGAATCAGATATAGTTCAGCCCAGCTGGAACTGATGGAGATCAGAATAAATGTCACATGAATCTACGGGCGTGATTTCCCTTGCCAGATCCCTCTCTCAGCTCAGGCTTTCTGGACAAGGACCAGTGTTAAGAGGAGCAGGTTTGCTCTCTTTAAACTCATTTCCTTCTCAGTATCACCAGTGCCAAGTGGGAGTCACACTGATGGAACTAAACCTCTTGGTGGACTAAGAGCAGACATCTCCCATTGGTCTGAAGAGGCAGGGTAAGTGGCCACGCACACCCACCTCGCCTGACCCAGGAGGAGTTCTCGGTCACGGGCAGTTCCATTCATTCCTTAATAAACTGTGGCTGTGTGCTGGGACTCTGGTATTCCTCTTCTTCCCACGTTGCTGCTCCCCAACTCAACACTATACATGGCTGACCCGGAGCTGGGTCAACACTGAGAGGGGGAGCCCCACACAGAGACAATGTAAACACTCAAGAACTGTTTGAGGTCCTGTGTATGTGTGTGACTGCAGGTCATTTTCACATGTCTTGTGTTTGCAGCAGTGGGAAGTCAGCCCAGAGATTGTATTACATTCTCTGCTGGCTGTTCACTGGCTTTCCAATCTAGACAGTGTCTGAGCAGAGCCTCCCCATGGGGCAAAGGAACCATATCACCCACGATCACTCAGCCACTTAATCGTGGAACTGAGACTGGAACCCCGGGTAACCTGATTCCCTTTCTGCAGGTCCTCAGGGTGCCGCCACCCGCAGTCGGTGCTCCTGAGTATCTGCTCAGCAGCCCAGAGATCCATCACGACTATCCAGGACTCGACGCTGAGTTCCTGCAAGGTTCTAGACTGTTCTCTGCAGCCTCAGAGATTAAACATCATTCCAGGTAGCATTTAGTGTTGGGATGGCTCTTTGCATTTTATGGTAACTCATTCATAACCAGCACGCTTCTCCACCAACTCCATGCATAGTCGTACGGCATGAACATGAGCCAAAGGAGGGTCCTGCGGGTGGCAGGGGCTAGTAAACACCAGTATGAGATGTGGCTGGACACAACCCCTGCTCCCCTGTAGAAAATGAACCTGATTTGTGAGATCTGGCTGGCATCCAGGACACCCAACTATGAGGGGCAGATAAGGGGGGGATGTTGGTTAAAAGGTGACCTTTAGGACTGCTGGACATTTCTGGGTGACATCCGTATAGACCCGTCGCTGTCAAAGCTCAGAATTTATGAAAATGACAGGAAGGTTAAGCTAAGGACAACAGATAGTCCCTCCCTGCTGTGGTATGTGGGGTGTGGGTGTGGCAGTTTCTGTGTACGTGCACGCCCTTACACCCACAAACCTGGTGCCTCCTTCCTGGCCATGGCTGAGGAGCTGGTGGGTCACAGCTGATGGTGGGACTCCCACCACTGGCCCGCTTACATCTTCTCCCCAGAGGAAGACCATCTTCTGAAGGCCCTGGGCCGCGTGCTGAGCCCAGCTGGGCTGCATCATGTGGGTAGATTAACACAGAGTTTATGGCGTGATTGTTTTATTCCTTAGTTACTAGCTGCCCTGATTAGTAGGGAAACAGGAGACTGGCTATAAAGTGAGCCTTGGTAGGAATGGGGGAGTCCTGGTACCCACACAAGACTGACCCGTTCAGGTTGGTCAGGAATTAAATGCTCATCCAGACAGGACGGAAAGACCTGCACATCTGTGCCTGTCCACTGTGCGTCTTCATCCCATCTCTCCAGTTTTCTCTGAGCGCTACCCCACCATGTCCTCATCTGACCATTGTCGTCAGAATTTACAAATAGAACAATGAATCCAAACTTCATCATCCTCACTTAGAAGAGGAGCATGGGGAACCAGTGGGGACAGCTCTTGCCCACATGGCATAATTCTAGCTGTCTTTTGTCTATAGTAGATTGTGCTCCATTTGGCTTAAATTGATAGAGTGGGAGGGATGTCAGAGTTGCTTTTATCCCCTTTCAAATAATTTTGCACGAATGTTTGTAAGACCATCCGTTTGCTTTTAGAAACCAAAGCCATAGCTCCACTTCTAAATAAATGCTCTTGGATCTGCTTGCCCTGTTCTTGCTTGGCTGCTTTGAGCACAAATCATCCACTGAACTGAACACAGGTGCCGGTCTCACATTGTGCCAGGTTGGCACAATGGGGTCTGTACACTCACAAGTACGGTTGACTTCTCCCTCCAAATCACTACTCACCCATGTGATACCCCGAGAATCCCTGCTTCTAATTACATGGGGGCAGGTGCACGTGCCATCTTACCCAGAAGTCAGGGGCTGGGCCTTATCACCTCTCATATACCTCTTGCCAAAGTGCAAAGTGTGATCTGGCAGAAGCCACCCTATAATCTGGAGATGGGTGAGTACACCAACTTTGGGATTTGTTTAATGGAAGAAGGTGAAAGGCTGGAGAGCAGGCCCTTGCATCTGCTTCACCTGGAAGTGAGGAAGGAGGTGATAACAGCACTCGTCAGGATGTGAGATGAACCCTGCCATCCTTTAATTTCCAATGGTACATGCAGACAGAGGAGGCTCAGCCTATAATCTGATAGACTAGAGGAGGTTGGTACCAAGGAGATGAGCAGCGGAAGAGAGAGTCCATCTCAGTCTGGGCAGGGACGCAGAGTACATGCATATGAATGACTCTGAGCATATTCATCTGGGCTCAAATTCAATCTCTCATGGACTGTAGGGATCATCATACCCAAGGGGATGCCTATTAGCTTTCTGAACCTCAGAGTCCTCGTGTGTTAAATGGAGAAAACACCAGCAATCGAACCCGTCTGCGCATTGTGGTTGGAATGAAGGAGTGACATAACCAACGGCAGTCACAGTGTGGGCACCACGTAGCTCTGCAGATAGCAAGAGGACTCTTCTTCCAGGACTTCCAAGAGCTCCTCCAGCTCAGCTCTGAGAGCATGTAGACACGACCGTGCTCATCTGAAAGTCCAAAGTCACAAGTAGGCTTTGGCACACCCTCAGGCTACTGAAGTTCACCCAGGCTGTATTTCCCAGAATCAGAGAAAAAAAAATCACCATGAACATGGTGCTTGAATCCTGGTTTGGAATGAACCAGGTGTTTCCAGTTTCTGTGTGGTCAAATCCAGTTCCCTTGGTTGTCAGTATCTTACCATACACAGCCATGTAGTTTCTTTCTTTCTTTCTTTCTTTCTTTCTTTCTTTCTTTCTTTCTTTCTTTCTTTCTTTCTTTCTTTCTTTCTTTCTTTCTTTCTTTCTTTCTTTCTTTCTTCCTTCCTTCCTTCCTTCCTTCCTTCCTTCCTTCCTTCCTTTCTTTCTTTCTTTCTTTCTTTCTTTCTTTCTTTTTTAAATAACATTGTATTAAGTGACACAGTTTTATAGGTACTGGGATTCCCACCACCCCCATGTAGTTTATGTCTTGCTTCCTCTAACTTTTGTCATGTACTTCAGAAAGTATATGTTGTTCTACTGCTGTTTATTCTTACATGGAAGGAAAAATAAGCATTTATAATAGGAAGAAACTGGGTATAATCAGGAAGCTTTAGAAGCTAGATGGGACACTTAAAAACAGCGTGGGGAGGTGACACTGTGGCATAGCAAGCTAAATGTCTGCTTGAGGTATTGACATCCTATATGGGCACCAGTTTGAGTTTTCGCTGCTCCACTTCTGACCCAACTCCAGGGAAAGCAACACAAGATGGCCCAAGTGCTTAGGCCCTTGTCCCCATATGGGAGACCTAAAAAAAGTTCCTGACTCCTGACTTTGGACCTGTTCAGCTTTTGCCCTTGTGGCCATTTGGGAAGTGAACCAGCAGATGGGATATCTCTGTGTATTTCCTCATTCTATAACTCTTTTAAATTAAAAAAATAGTAAAAAAAAATAATAAATGCTTATTTTTTAAAAAGTATAATGGTAGGCATTTTCCTGGAATGAATCAGTCATTCATTATCAGAAGGTAAAAGCTGAATGGATGAGCTCTTCCAAACCCTCCTGAGACATGGGTCTTAGGAATTGTAGCGGTCATCATCACCATCATCATGTCATCAACTCTTAGTGTACAAGTGAGGTCCAAACATATGACATTCGATTCCAGGCTGCCATTCTGTATTGCTCATTACCTAACTGAATCATCCTGCACCATCTGCAGGAATTCAGAATTCAGATAGTGTGACCCGGGATGGCCGGTGCAGTATAACCAATCACTTTGTCTCAGGCCTGAAACACGTGCTTTTCTAAGTCCAAACAGGTAAATTAAGAAAATCAACACCCTGGGGCTGGTATTGTAGCATGGCCAGTTAAGCTGTAACCATGACACCAGCATCCTGTATGAGCAGCAGTTTGAGTGCCAGCTGCTTCTGATCTTGATCTGGACATTGTGAGTTTGGGTTGCAATGGGATTTCTAAGCAGGCATCACACCAGAGACGTAGATGGTGGGGTTGAAAATCAGGAGGGCATGATAACTAGAGCCACCAAACACAGAAGACATAGATCTTGAGCAGGTTCAGGTTGCCAACAGAGGATCAGTAGACTAAAAACCGGGGTTGAGTGGATCTCTATGCAGGCTGACACCTAAATAGAGTGAAGAAAGAGAAGACCATGAGCTTGCTGTTTGGTCATTGTTATGTCTAGTACATTTCAAGTTAATCAGTGATGTCAAACGAACACAAAACCTTCCTTAACCTCACATCCTTTAAAGCAGGGTTTTCCCATAGACCTTTCTGTGCCATCTCCATTCTGCCTGGTTGAGTAGCCACCTGCCACCCAAAACTATCAAACCCTTGAAATGTGGCTAGCACAACAGAGGAACTGACTATTCTGTATTATGCTATTTCATCCTATTTTATTTTAAAAATTATTTATTTTTGTTGGAAATGTAGATTTACAGAGAAAGAAGAGAGAGAAGGCTCTTCCATCACTGGCTTACTTCCAAATGGCCACAAAGGTCGGAACTGGGCCAGTCCAAAACCAGGAGCTAGGAACTTCTGGGTCTCCCATGTGGGTGCAGATCCTAAGGATTTAAGGACTTGGGCCATCCTCTGCTGCCCTCCCAGGCCATCAGCAGGGGGCTGGAGCTGAAGAGCAGCTTAGACTCCAACCAGTGCCCATATGGGATGCTGGCACTACAGACTTAGTCCACTATGCTGGACTGGCCCATATTCCTTGATTTTAATTAATTTCAATGCAAATTTTCAGCATGAGTCACAGCTATGATATTGGATGGCCTTGCCCCTCCCTAGACCTTCCCTGTTCCTCCTGCAGAAATATTGTTTGAACTAGTCACCAGCTCTCCTTTCTAACCTTGACCTCACTCCTCCCCTTTCCAATTGAACCTCGGTGTATTCCTATGTGCAATGCAGCTTATTAGCTACCAGGATAAATACCCATCCCACAGCACCTTGTTTTGTGGGAAATGAGAGGGGAAGAGAGATCCATCAGAATGATTTTTATTTCCCTTTTAATTTGGAGTCAATGTGGCCCATTGGAAGCATTGAAAGCAAGGAAGGAAGGATAGGTAAGGAGCTTGATAAAAAAGAAGTTACAAAAGAGCCATTTTGGGTAGGATGAGAAATGCAGAAAATTTAACATGACAGAAAAGTGTGTGTGGCAACTCTGAAGAACAGAAATCACCTGTGTGTTCTTCAGGAACGATGAGATACAGAGAAACCCCTGGCCCAGTGGCTGCAGCCACTTCACACAGATCAAGAATGGAGGAAGGAAAGACTGCAAGTCTCTGGGCCCCACATGGGACTATCCCAGTCCCTTCCTTCTTCCTTGTATCATCTCATTCAGGGGCTGCAAACTGAAACTGGTGGGGAAGTCAGAGCAAGCTAATGTTTAGCTCAGGAGATAGAAGGCCCTTTGCCAGGCCCCCTGGCCTTGGCCTTCCTCATTGTAAGTAGGCCTGGGTCCCAATGAGGGAGAACCCAGGTGGGAGGTTACGGGGAGGTCCTGCCTGCTTTCTCAGCTGGACTCTATCTTACTGCAGGGTACTCTGATCATCTGCTTGGTAAGACCCTCTTCCCAAGAAAAGACCCAGGGCTTCTGTTCCCGGCTCCAAAGAGATGGGGTAGGGCCAAGTGAACCCTTGGGGACAGAGCAAGGATTTGCAAAAACATCAGGACCCTAAAGGCTATGGGCTTGGATGGAGTGCTCTCTATGGAGTTGTGTCCTGGAACCCATTCTTGTTTAGATTTGGCATCCTTTCCTAGGCAGAAGGCAAGCCGGCAGACTGGCCAGGTGTCATGCAGGGTGCTGAGTGTGGCCAACTGGCCTGACAAGTGAATGCAAGACCTGGAGGATGGTAGGAAGCTGGCCTGCAGGAGGCTGGGGATGGCAGCAGGAGGTCCAAGGGGAGGAAAGCCAAGAGGGGACTCCTGGACCAATCCCAGCAGGTGTTCCTGCTACACAGTCCTAGAATCACCCTTCCTGATATGGGTTCTCCAATCCCCCCAAACACCTAATGATCATTCCTTTTTCTTTTCTGTGCTTCCCATCCCTTGGGGCCTTTTTCTCTCAATGGACACACAACACCCATTCCACACTTGGGGCACCTGATCCCAAGGAATCTAATGGAGCCCAGGCAGGGCCCTTAGAGCAACACTGCGCTCCAACAGTCAGCAGAGTGCATGGAGGACAATACTACTCCCCAAGCCACCCTGGCTTGGGAGTGTGGCCCTGGCTCCCTGCTGACTGGTGAGTGAGGCTGCCCAAGCCCTGCTCCTTCCAGGAATAGTCAGTAGGCACGGTCCTATTTTTAGAGGGGTGGTAGGGAGGAGAGGGTGTTAATTTCTTTTATGTTCATTTAAATACAAAGAAACACTCCTCAAATGCCCACAGCAGGCCAGGCTGAAAATCCAGGTCTCAGACACAGGTGACCTAACCACCTGTGCATCAGCTGCTGCCTCCCAGGGTGAGCACCAGCAGGAAGCTGCAAGTGGAAGTGGAGCCAGAATTCTAACCCAGACATATCAGTTGGTGTCTTAATTGCTATATACAAGAATGGTTCTTTTTTCTTTAAAAAAAAATTCTGTTGGAAAGTCA